AATTAAATCGATCTGTCGTAGGCCGCACTAAACGAAAGGATTTAGTATAATTTTCATTCATGAAATGCTTTAGAAGGAATATTGGAATTTTTTGATTCCAAATTAGACAATATTATCCTTGTCTAGCGATAAATTGCTTACGAAATATTTTTGCCAAATTCCAATCGTATCTATTATTGCGTATTCGCAATCGCTGAAGAAATGGAATACAAGAAACAAATATTCATTGTTAAAAATCAACCCCTACAAAATAGATATTAATATTAATAAGGGATATCATTGGAAGCAATACCGTTTTATCCTCTTTGTCCACAAATTCGTCATCTATTTCTTCTGATTTCAATGAGTAGATAGCTCCGTTTTATGCATCCCCAATGCAAATAGGAATACAAAAATAATTGATTGAAAAAAAATGAAAATCGATAAATATTTCCCCAAAAAAACGATATTAGTAAAGATATTATCTATATTAACTAAAAAATATATTTAAAAGAATATATATAAAATTGAATTTAGATTCTATTATATATTTATATATATAATTCTATATTATTAATTAATTGTTAATATTTTTATAGATTGATATATATGGATCGAATATCTATAATCAAATAATTTAGATAAAGGGATGGAATATAATATATAATATATATTTATTTATCTATATAGAATAATGAATTGCTAATTAAATATATTTATTATATAATTAAATATTAGATTTGCGATCGATAGATTTGCACTATTTTTTAATTTAGGATAAATTTATTTTTTCGTTAGATATATATATATATATTTCACATATTATTTGAAAAGGCAGAGAATTCAAATAATCATGGTTCAATTTCCTCGGAGAACGAAATAATGCTAATGATACCTCTTACAATTTGGGATCAATATTTTTTTGGTCTATATATTCTTTATTAATCAAATTGTATGTGCAAGAAATATATGAATATGATATTCAATTAATATTAAATGAAATTATTTCGTTTTATTGCCATATAATAATTATATCTATTGATATTAGCAATATATATATACATTTATTTATTTCAATATATTTGACATTCTGTTAAATAAAATATACAAATATTTCCAAAATAAATATCAATAATATATTATTAATAAGCCTAATATATATATATAAATATTTTATTAATATATTTTTTAAAATATTTAGAATTGAAATTCATTGATAATTTTATATTCGATATTTATTAATTCAATATTCGATATATTCAATAAATAAAAGAAAATATGATAGAATATTATGATTAATTAATTATCTATTTGTAATATATATAATTTGATTATATGGTTTCTCGAAATTAAAAATGAATATATTCATTGAACTATTTAGCTTCTTTCATCGTTTAATATCTAGACGGGAATGATATTTAGTATATTTGTTTATGCATTCCTAGAAAATTTTAGATCATTTTTTCAGATATTCATAAAAGATTATCTCTATGGGATTTGAAAGGAGATATTGGTCAATGATTATTCTTAATTTTATTGAATTTTCCAGATTTAGTAATTTTAATATTCTCCGAATTCATATATATTATAAAATATATTATAAAAATAGATTCTAATTAATATATATATATTAAAATAACAGAAATCTTATAATTATCCAAGAATCTTTTAATTAGGACTATATTATTATGGTCATGAATTTTGTGGTTTTCGATATTATTTCAGTAAGTCCTCGGGTGGTATATTGTGATTGTGGTTGTATATTATAAATCGGTCTTTGTGGCTAATTTCTTTTGGGCATATTTTTCTTCAACTATGCATTCCATTGCTATAGATCAACCTAAAAAAGATGTTTTGGCGCTTGGCCAGGACTCATATGATACGTTGTTGTATTGCCTATAAAATTAAATCGTTTAGAATAGGGTTACCATCATAAATTGTATGGCTAATAATGTTGTGAATAGCTTCATTCATCCTATATAACCATTGTTGTCTAGGTTGCCCAACTTGACATTTATCGATCTGGATGGGGTCCCCATTGCCTATTTGATATGAAATATGTCTTAGAGGCTTTGAGACCTGCGTTCTTAAAATATATCCGGCCAACTTTATTCGACTCTCATCTGATTCTTGAAAAAGAGATTTGATATTTTTGATAGATTGATTCGGAAAAGCAATTTCAGGAGCAAATTCATAGACCCTTATATGTGTATTTGCGCCTATCTCTAAATGTAACCCCAACCTAGTCATGTAGTCAAAGAATTTGCAATGTTGCACCTTATCGAACACCTTTTCCCAATCAATAAGGGCCATATGAACAAAGTACTAAAGGTCGGCATTTACGATTCTACAAAAATGAACAATTTATATATTCCTTGACAAAATAATATCAATCGAAAAAACGATACCTAGGCATAGCTGCCTCCAGAATCTGACTTTTGGTGAATAATTCAATTAAAGGTTGCATGGGTTCATTTGTTCTAGTTGCCTCGAGACTCCATTGTGGCAGAAAATAGTTGCCTCGAGACTCCATTGTGGCAGAAAATTCAATCAACATTTCTAGAGAATAGGATGGCTAATTGGAACCTATTTGCAGCCGTTTGTTTGAGAATAGAAAAATGCATTCGCAATGGAGCCAAGAATTGTGGCAATGCCTTTTGAAATTCGACACAGAGTATGTATAATCTTTTTGTTGTAATATTGCCAGGTTATTTGGGAATTTTTCCTTTGTTGATTTCTTTCCTCCATTTGTGAGCTAAGGGATCTATATAAATGAAGAGATTGACCAGAAATTCCCTTCGAAGAGAATTGCAATCATAGCCGGATACAAGGAATATGAGCACTCATCAATCATTGAGGCAATGATCTTGTCATTTTTTTTGCCCAAGGAGAGTTGTCCAGCCTTTGTTGATGATGGGGTTTGAATGATTGGACACATTTTTTATTGAAGGCTCTTGGGCCTCGAAGAAAGGCAACTATAGGGAACACATTGATGCGATGGAGAATGCCATTCTCTATTCGGATTATTTTCGAAAGCGTTTATTCCTATTCGATCAAAAGATATCCATTAGAAAGACCCGTCGAATGATTCCCAACGATGCCATAAGAGAATTAGAAGACCAAATAAGGTTAAGAAAATGCCAAGCGCTTGCGAGGCACGCTTTGGACAGCAATTCGCGCCCATCAAGTTGGACTATGGTTTTTCGGGCAGGATGCGGACGAGAGCGAAGAAGGGTGAGAAGCCTGAGCTGCAATCTCCCCACAATCTATCGAACGCTCAAAAATATGCGAAGAACTATGAATATTCGCCAATTCAGGTTGATTAATCACCGTCTCTTTCCAAAATTCAAAAAAAGGATGAACTGAGACATGTGCGACCACTATGAGACATGTGCGACCACTATGCAAATTATGCATGGAAGATCAGGCTTCGCACGCGATCTTTCTTAGACAAAACGATGAAGGAGATTCTGCACATGTGTCCAAGATATTGGCAAGGGTTGTTTGCGCGACATGATCGCCATTGCTTCAAGACAATTGATCGTCTATATATCCTAGAAATTTGAGGCGAGTACTTGTGGGAAGAGCAGGAAAAGGCCGACCCTCTTAGCTGCTCAGATGCCAGCTGTCTGTTGTTTTTGTTTTTTTCCGGTCAACATTGATTTTAGATTACTTCATTTTGCCTAATTGAATGGAACCCAAGTTCGCCCTTCACGAAGACCAATTGCACAAGGAGCTGGTGCAACGCTTGCGGATAATTCGTGCCTATGAGTGGCGTCAATTGAGTGCAACAAGGGAGCAACACTTCATGCGGAAACGATTGGATTCCTTGCCTCCTGACGAGTGCTACCTGCACTGCGATTTTGCTGAGAACATTGGTGTGCCCCTATCTAACAAACCACCAAATTTCTGATGAATTCCATGGCAGTCAGCAAAAAACGCTTTCCATCTTTGGAGCCTATGTAATCCAGCGAGAGAAACGGAGTTCCAAAATGAGAAAATTGGCAGTGGTTTTGGTAGACGATATCATCGAAAAATCAATTCTATATGTAAACACATGCATTGAGAGAATCCTTTCCTTTGTTAAGGGGCTTGGGGAGCTGAAAACATTGCGGTTCTGTCTCGATTCTAGAATCATTTCAGAAGTGCGCCTGTCTCGATTCTAGAACCATTTCAGAAGTGCACAATATGTGTTTTTCCATTCAATACCGCTCCAATATCAACAAAGAACCATTGCCCATTATCTAGTTGAAAAATATGGAAAGGGCCAGATGACAATGAGATCTGTGCAAGGCTGAGAGCTTGGGTCACAGAGTACTTGCGACAAGATGGCGTATTAATAGATGAAACAAAGATTTTAATTTATGTTTTCCAAATCGCAGCTGATCGAGAGGATAAGGCCAATCCTGTGGATTTGAAATTTAATTGTGAAATATTTGATCTAGGGTTGCGACCAATTGAGAAGTAAGAATTTGAATTTGCTAATCATGTCATTCGTAGCTATTGTTAGGAAAATGTCCCTGGTCGCAAAAAGTGCGA